ATCTCAACTTGTTTCGTATCAACTACAACAGTTACCAACAGCTTTCCACGGGGTAGTTTACGAAGCGGGATGCTGATTCAGCAAGAGGAATTCCGTACTAGAACAGGAGATTTATTTAGACATCCAGCCCGATCCGTGTGAGACCGACAACTTCAATTACTGTAGCCTTCGCATAGGTAATAGTTGCAGCTAACGTTCACGAACAAAGCAACCACTCAGCCGTTATTGTTTATGGGCCGAACGTTTCCAGAAGCGAGATTTAGGCGTGCTCATAAGCGCTGTGCGCCTAGTCATTGCTAGTACTATTGCCTTATCTTGTTCTTTTCGCTATACCGATGATATGTAGAGGCGGCTTTCGACCACAATCGTCGTCGGAGCTCGTCGAAAAGTTAAAGACTGGAAGTGATCTACACTATTATATAAAAAAAAAAAACCTTCGTAATAGCAACGGACAGCCGAGGGCTGGAAATCCTCGGAGGAACTGGATCCGCAGCAATTGACAGATAGGTGATACTGTTACGCCAGTGTGACTATTGTACAACGTTAGCATTTGTGCCGAGCGGACTAGGCGTTGTCAAAAATAGAACGAGGTAGACATCGGTGAGTACAGCAGGCCAACATCGCCTGTGTCGTCTGCTAGCATGACACGCACGGAACGATGCATGAAATGAGCCAATAGTCACAACGGGAGGACAATAGAGCTCGCGAAGAGAACGTTGGAACGCTGCAAGCTATCGAGTTCACGATACAGCATACCGCAATACTACAACCTATGTCGATATTTTAGTGGAAGTAATGCTGTGAGCAAAGGCTCCAACAATACGAACGAACAGGTCTGTTGAACGCTATCCATTCTACCCGAAGGTGGAGGATTTGTGGCCTTGCGCTAAGAGGATCAAACGAAGCATAGCTTATAAAGGCTTAAAAAAAGACTAGCTAAAATAAGTTAATCGGCTGTGATGCTTACGGATAATTTAAGCTGGGTCATCGGAGAAGAAGAGGCCCAGATAGGTGATGAATGTGGGCAGGAAGCACTGAGACTCGCTGGCGGTGCCCGCCACTTAAAAATAACAGGCCATTGTCACAGCAAGTGATAGTATCATCTCTTAGCGGGTACAATTTTCGAGCGTTTTAACCCTTTACTGTCATTAATAAATCAAACAAAAGCATGACTCTGTAGCAGAGCACATATTACTGACATGTAACTTCCACACCAAGTCGTAGTTGTGTATTTTGTACTCGTTCCTTCAATTTTGTTCAATGGAGTTATTCGGTGCAAATCTGATGAACGTTTCAGTAGCGGTCCACTCGAAGATTCTCTTGTTAATAATAAAAATGTCATCTTTTTAGATATCTATCGCGCCCACACCTTGTCAATATGCCGTTATGCACGAGTGAACGGACAAGTACGATGACATTTCAAATAATAACCTATTATACCATAATTATCATGGCAATTACCACTAATTACTGTTATTTATTATAGTCATTATGACCTTAAATTCGATAGGAGCGTATTTTCTCCTTATAGAGGACACGACGCCGGCATCTATCAATCAGGTATATACATCGCGTCATTGTTAATAGAAATGTCGATGGATGACAACTGACACATACGTTTGACTGAATCGAGAAGCTGCAGAGGTCAGGTTCAGAACACTGAACATGTTCGCTGTGTGTATGGCTATTTTTTTTTTAAATAAATTTTTCCTAAAGTGCTATGTTTCGAACAACGTTTGCTACGGCAGTATAACCTGACGCGTGACACACTTGGCAGAAAGTAACGGAACGTCTATCTAACGTTGCTGTTGTTACTACGATCAGCGTCTTCTGTCGTTTTTGGCATAGCACTCACGAAACGAGTCTACGTTTTCCTCTAGCCGGACGGTGGCAAATGGGAGTAGAGAAACTCTCTCGTGGCCATTGCATGGGAAAAATGCGGCGCTTGTTGATCTCTTTGTAGAAACCAATAATAGGTTTGCTCTACCGCCGCCATTGGTGCCCATCATCAGGGGTTGGTCAAGTGCTATCAAAATCGACCAGCCAAACCAATCAGCTCGCCTGATACTGAAATAAACCTTAACCAGGCAAATCGGTCAGCCAAACCAATCAGCTCGCCTGATACTGAAATAAACCTTAACCAGGCAAATCGGTCAGCTGCCCACGAGTCAACTTCTTACATACAATGCCCGGGCCTGTATGAGGCCCGTATCTCTAAAAGTAATCTAGACAGCACAAAATATAAAGGTTATCTACATTATGTACAACTCTCTCGTATTTGCGTATCAAGCGAATGCCTTTAAACGAGGCTGCTTCATTGTCAGTCTCATGGGTCTTTCCCTATTATCTATGTATAATCAACATTCTAAATTGTTTCCAATATATGTACAAGTCTTCCTCTTCAGAAGCAGTCAAAAACGTCTGGCTAAAATAACAACGACTACTTTGAAAGAGCGTTTTTCTCCTATTTCTCATATAAGAACTCCTCTGGCTAAGAAAGGCGCTATTTACCTAGGTCGTCCGGCCACTGCTGTTATTCGAAGTTTTTGTTGTCATCAAATCGTTACAAAGGTACATCTTCTATGGAAGATCAGTCCGGAAGATCCGTTTGAAAGGTGCACAGCAGAATGGCGCTAATTTTAGTAGGTGTAATCAAATGAGGTCTCATCATGAAATAGCAGTTACCATGAAGTAGCTAGTTGCTTTAGCTAGTTATGCCGTTCTCTCTGTTCGCCGCTGGCGCCGGTTTGTCGTTTAACCGCATTGTCCTAAACTACACTAACAGACTAAGGTGATTTTAGGGAACTTTGTTCGGACGCAGACTGAGCATCTCTATGATCAGTGACGGTCAGCTGAAGTGCGCCTATGGCCAATATATTGCCTAACACAGGCCAACGTTTCGAAGGAATCAAAGGTAGAAGCGTACGGTGCCGGCCTCAACCTGGTCGGATTTCGACAGTAAACGAACACATAATTGCATATGTTGAAAAGGTAGCAGGTTAGGGCACCTGAGACGCGTCGATAGCTGTGATCTCTATAGGGATAGCTACCTTTATAGGATGACTGTATTTGTATGTGTTATTTTGATTTTTATTATTGCGATCATTACGATTTCTAGTATTTCGTCTAAAGCGACGCACGCCCAAGAACGCCACCTTGACAAAAGTTACGCTCCATCCATGATGGCTCTTTTATGAAAAAGAAGCTTGACGTGGATGCAAAAGAAACCGTTAGCTTTAACATAATGAAGAAAAATCACCAGAGGTTAAATTAATGAAGGACGACTTCAGCTTAGCTCAGTCTGCACTTGATTGTCGGTTTCTAACGGAACGAATCAATACGAGCGTAAACCGCAGTAGGAAGCATCACCCAGCTCGGAAATTATATAGCCAATAATTTTACATATCATCATACTTTTTCCGTTAATAGCCCAATATAGTCAGCTGGTCGCGTTTTACGCCGTTTGTATTATAATTCAACACAATTTGTTGTGTTATAATTTCTAATTGCAATTTACTGTTTTCCAATTCCCGCTTCAACTAGGTCGCATCCATCAGGCTTCAACAACAGAAAAACTTCCGAGTACAAATAATGAAGTGATTTCTCAAAATTGCTTGCCGACCAAAATGGCTACGGTTGATTTTCTTTAAAATTCATCAAAATACATTTACTACCATTATCATCATAGATAACAACGATAAACTACGCTAACATGTGTGTTCTCTTCTCACAACTGGGTTCTTTGTGAAGACGACGAAAGCACTAATATATGTATCTATTCATATAAAGCGTTTGTCTTAGTATTTTGGCGTAAATTTGAGAGAAAGCACTCTTTTACCATGATGCGCTGCGCTTCTATGACGATTAGCAGTGAAAACAGAATAGTCAACATTTTTGTTCTATATATATATGGAAATTGTTTTTGTACAAATTTGTTCAATTAACAAAAAATCTTGCCATCTTTTGCTAAGCCCACAACTACGCCACTCTGGATCTGCTTCATGGGCCCGTAGGCTTACGAATAGCAATAATTAAAAAAACTGTTTCAGAACTTCAGAGCCTCGTAGACTTCCTAGACGCGGGACTCGAATGCTTTTTATCGCCATAGAAGAAGTTGAAAGTAAAGATTTGTCTGATTAATGATCGGCTAATTGCATATAGCTTATTCAGCTTAAGAACAGCGTTCCCTTTGGTCTTTTGAGCTAGCCTTCAATGGTTCATAATAGATTCAAAGCCATGGTATAGAAACTCAATTAGTAGGTTGTCATGTTAGATTATCTAGTTCTTACTGATGCTTATCCACTAAGAGTATGACAGTTGTCAACCGGTGTCCAAAGTCCGTTTTTTCTCGCGTGTAAAGGTATAATGGAGTAAAATGGTCAGTAGATTGATTCTTGTCACTCTGGTGCAAACGAAGACAATGCAGTTACTATTATGCCAAAAGTAAAACCCAAGACGCTGATCTTCTTTCAGTTTTCCTTGATCAATTGTTCTTATTAAACAGGAGGCCTATTGCAGGTGTTGCGTCACCTGCAGGCCTTTTGCACCAGATCCTTAATGATGATCAGGTAAAAACGAGCCCCGGTTGCGTTGTTAATCGAGCCATACTATTTATATGGTAGATGGATATATATCGGGTGTGCATCTCTCTTTAAGTATTTTACTGACGTATACGGCATAACGCGTTTATGAGGCCGCACGTCGATGCGGCTGATCAATGCTAACTTTCACAAAATGAACATTTTCGATAAAGGATGTCGCTCTTTGTAGTCTTCCCGGTATTCAGCTTTTTCTGCTACAAAAGCAATTATGAATATCGTCTCACCTATGGAGCACAAATATTTCCAGACCGGACCGTAATTGTCTCATCTCTCAAGTACTGACTATACGTGCGTATCTAGCACTATATTATACGACAGTAGACTAGATAGTAAAAGTCGTTCACAACGTTTTTCTCCGAACTAACTTTCAGCTTCGACTATATAATTATTGCAACTTACCACCAAACATGAAGCTGAGAAAAAGGAAGAGTATTGGTGCCGCTAGCTGATGGGTTTCTTCCTCGAACTTCTCTTCGGCGGGCTTGTCGTCCGAGCGATTTCCCATTAGCAGGCGATGCACTGAGCTCCACTGAGCGGCGCTAATGTTCGACAGGTTTGGCATCATCGAGGCCGGAATCATTTCGAACATTTCGAGAACGGACGAGTTGATCGAACCGCCACTTGTTTCCGCTAGCGACGCTATTGGCACACTAGCACTGGACAAAAGTCCGCTCTCGTCCGACCCCGCTATCGGAGGCTCGGTTTCGAAGCTCATGGTGCTTCAGTAACGAGGAAGACGCTACCGGCGGCTGATAATCAGCGGACAGATTTTCGGCCAACAGCCTAGTCTTGGAACGCAGTGGAAGTTAAATTCGTAGCGTCGTATGTGGAAAAAATCGTTTGGGAGAATGCTGAGTGTATATCCTTTTTCTTCTAAAGCAGAACGTATCACATCGAGCTACACCTCTAATAAGTAGATCCTCGTGGGAAAAGCTATCGCACATTGGGTGGAAGTTTCCTGATCGTTCATTTTTATTGCGGTAAGGTATCACTCACAGCTACACGCACGACCTCACCTTTGCTCGAATACGAAACTAACATTCATGTTGTAATTCCGTTATACTGCAAAGAAACTGCACTAACATCCAAGACAAGACTCTGGTACAACAGAGCTTCATCAACCAGAGAGAACTTCGAGAATTAACGCGTGAGCCACTTTTCGTCTTCACAAACACAGCCTGTGTCTCTTTCTGTTCATCTTGAATCACAAGCACAGTCTACGTCCCAAAGCAGCCACTGTCAATATCAAGCTTTCGTTTTAGCTGTCTGGACAGGATGCAATTTTTCGTTAAGCCATGATGCTTATAGCTCTAGATTTATCTCTAAGCAACGCTACACAGTATTAAATTTCCGCCTTGATTGTCGTTCCTTTTCGTCAAATTTTCCGCAAATTTCAGAATTTTTTTCACTTTATCCGGTCTTGCAGAATGAAGTGTAATCCGGCGCGCGACGTCAACCTCGCCACGCAGCGTCCCTTTTACATGCGTGGAGAAGTTTAGGGGCCGAGATCTGCCCACAATAGATCTGGCGGTCCTGCGCGACGTCAAGTGGCCGATAAATCGTCGAGTGTCGATTGCTTGTCGCTCATTTACCGTTGGCTTGTCAGTTTCGCACGCGTTTGCCGCGAGCGAAATTTCAGTTCTCGACAAACGGTGACGATAGTTCTTCGCTTTCGTTGCGTTTACGTCGAATCGAAGCAACTGTGGTGAGCGTTACGGTGGGATTGGGCGAGGGAGGGCGCCCGTAGGTCCGCACGTTCGTCCATTTGTCTGTCGCTCAATGCTCCACGCACGCTGGAGCGTCGCGCTACTCTGTTCAGTTTTGTTGCAGCGTCGCCAGCCGCCACCGTGGTAAGGAGGGAAGCCCGTAGGCGCGAGTGGAGCGCCCGATGAATGACGGCGACAGCGTGGCGTCGCAGCAATGCGCCTCTCCCCCCGAGCGACACCAGCAATGTCAGCAGCTGCCGGAGCTGCGGCTGGACTATCCGTAGCCAAAGCAATAGTTGCTATTGTAACATTATATCAATCGTCGCGAACTCCTCCACGACGAGGACTACAACAACAACAGCAGCAATAACGGTGAGAACAACACCAGCATCAAGAATAGTCAGAGTTCCATCCGGTATGAATACGCTCTTCGACGTCAGCTGATTACCGAGTCGCTATCCAAGCCGAAGCGCTTCCTCGACGTTGTCCTTTATCACGTCTGCAAAATAGCTGGTTTCCGGAGGTCGCCCCCATGCTTTCCGATGGCTTCGAGGTGACAGAAGAACAAAAGGACGAACTTTTCCCCAGAACTGGGAAAGCTGCTTGGGCTGCTGAAGAACCGAAATTTATGGCAATTAAGATTAGAACGAGAATGGTCCACGATAACGATGATCATTAGTGACGGCAGAGAAAAACACGTGGAGGCCAGCCGATTGGCCGTAAAAAGAAAAAAGCCGCTTTGGAGTTCACGAAACACAAAAACATCAGAATAAGAAACAGAAGATCGGAATAAGAGAGATAAACTTCAGGATACTAACATCGCCCATATCAAATCAGTCAAAAGATTAGATAAATTTCAAAACCAAACATCCAAGGTGAAATTCAGTAAGCCCGTAGTGGTCGGATATGACAGCTGGTACGGATAGCCATGATGTACAGCAGCACATTACTCAGCTTTTGCTATATGTTCAACTTTAGCCAATCGCTGTCAAATTGTAATTCTTAAAAAACCCAGTGGAAGACTGCTGGCAGATTTCTTCACAAGTGTTTAGTTATCATGCTGAAGCCTGGTAACTAGAGAAAAAGTGTTCTTAACCTAGATAGCCTAGATCTCAATGTGACAAAATATCACTCTTTCACACACTAAGCTACCCTTTCTGCTATCTTTATTGAGTCGGACGTAATCTAAACTAATGAGGCGATGGCTCAACATTAGACTGATTTCAAATCTGAGTTTACGGGTTCCACGAAGACCAGGTCCTTTCGCTTACAGCTGACATATTTAAGGATTTTGACTTTTTTCCAGTAGACTATTGGGTTTCTCAGATCTCGCAATAGTTGGCGATGCGCTATGCCACTTATAAAAAAAAACACCCCATTTTCGTAAATCGATGCGATATTTAACCCATGAAGTATGTTACTATTATTTCCGCGAATCGAAAAGAGCACGTAAAGGAAATGACAAATGAAGTCTTAGACTGTGATTCTGAACAATTGCCAAAACCAGTAGTTTCCGTGCTGTCAAAGGGAAGCATTTAGACAGCGTCTATTGGGCATAACTAATCGAATCTTTGAACTAACAAAGGCTATCACGTGTGAAGACACTGACGAGTTGTTTAAAATTATCAAAGGAAAACCATGTGTTTTCTTTTCTTTTTATCACCAGTATAAACACGTGCTTGCCAAAACAGAGGAAAAAAGTAGTGAGAAATGTTAAGGAAAACATTTCATCAAAGATCATCTACGCTATGCGTCAATAAACCTTAGTTAACCCGTTTGAGACGATGATTTGCTTACAGATACTTCTGCCTAAACGAGCAGGATTTCTAAACTCGCACAACGATATAGATGAATAAATGTGTTACTGGTTGACGCTAACGTTTACTATGTAGACATTGCATTATCATTTTTCTGTCCTTAACACACACTTTCCTGCAATTAGGACCAGCCACTTGTGCTACACTCTACTCAAGATGGCCAATCATTCTACAAGAACTATATGTGACTCTTTGATTACATACGCAAACACCTCGTTCGTACGGCAACACTATTACTAGTATTACAATGATACTGTATAATACCTATAGCAATAAAAACATATGTTTGGTCTAAAGCTAACATTTAGTGGCACCTCTTCACTAGGGGGCAAGCGTTAACTAACGTCCTGGCTATATAAGAATGGCGGCATTAGCATAAGGGTTCACCAACATTGACAACGCCACGGCGTCAGTTCTTTCGGTCATCACTTCCGTGAAAGCAGAAGAAGCTATGGAAAGTGACAGCATGCGGTCAGATATCGCCAATGGCTTGTTTCAATGTGGACGCTACCCAACATATTTTACTACACTGTATCATACAGCATGTTTTAAGCTGTTCGGAGCGATGATGGAGCCGCGTATCACCTGTGGGGTTCGTTATGCGACAGCATCTGGCCGTGGACAATCGACAAGTAGACGGTGCCGAGATAACGAAAGTGTCACAGGCGCTTATCTTGAGCAACGACGAAAGCCGTCTTGGCGAAATCTACTATTGTTGTCCTATATGCTATGCATCTGTCTAGGATAGAAACTCCTTTTCTGTCTTTACGTCTTGCGTCGTCTTGTAGTGTATGATGAGGAATTTCTTAACCAGTTCGCCGGAAAAGCAACGACTTCGTCCAGCTGCCAAATATATACTAGAGTCCTGTAGCTAGGTCACTCCCAGTTAGTAATAACCATTAGCTTGGACCTGTCGTCAGTCGACTAGTCGCCTGATATATCGCTCAGTTGACTGAGTGGCTGTAATTGTTTATTGTTATAGTATAATTGTATAATAATAGTAACTTTTGTCGTGATAGAATCCAAATCAGAGAATAGTAAAATATCAGCCTGTCTGAAAATTTAACAGATTATGTAAACGACACCGTAATGACGCCGTTGGTTAATAAGGAACTGGACGGGTTTCGGTTAACTGCCAGCCGCGTCAAGGGTCTGGTTCTTCCAGGATCTCGAAAGGAGATGTGTTTTTCGCTGCCCTAACAGACATGCTGGTTCCTGACCAATCTAGTTTTGTATTGTTGCCGCATGCATGGATGTCGCTGGCGACATAAAGTAACACGACGTAAAGGAATGCTAATTCTGTATTGAAAGTCGTACATCTGCTAGTCGCCAAACGAGAATGCGAAATTAGGGACTGTACACGAAAGGGGGTACATTGAGAAGGACAAGGTGTTCTTGATGTTTGGAATTGAACAGGGCGACACATAAAAGGCTGGGTCATAACAATGACGAACACATTTTTTTTCGAGCGGAATGAGGATTTATGTGATACTTACATCTCTCAGAAGCGTCCTTGGTAGACTGGGTGTCTCAGCATGCAAAGTTTAGTACACAGGACAAATGGAGCTTGCAGAACCTTAAAATAGTGCGACATGGGAAGAAGAGTGTGCAGTTAGTCGCGGTAGATGCGTATCTGATATTTCTAATTATCAGTCCTTCAGGTAAATTCCACCTTAAGGTCATATTGTATGTCTGTAGCACTCTAACTAGTGGAAATGACCCTTCAAGTTATTAACCCACGTAATACTTTTTTCGAGTTCCGCCAACAACATGCAGATATATTATATGATTTGTGTGAATAAAGAAAGCTCGCTGTCAAATCAACTGCTTTATTGATAAAATTAATTTACTAAGGCGTTCATTCAGAATTGCAATTCTAACACTATAAATCTTGAATAGCCGCAAGATATATCTTAACGTTTACGTGGCAAGGTTAGCGTAGTTGGTCGACGACATCGAATCGTGGCACCTATGAACATCTCCGAATTAAACCACATCGCATTATACGGACGTACAGTCGGTAAATACGGACCAATGTAGCCGTTCACGTTAACTAAATACGTTCTTAAATAAAATGGAAATTTTGTTTGTGTTAAATTTTCTGTTTCGAAAATGATAAGATAAGAAAATGTTTTGAAATTTCGATTTCGCTTCTTTCGATTATAAATCGTTGTGAAATTCAATGTGCTTTGGTTGTCTACCGTAAAAAAAAGAGCGCTCTTGTCCGATGTTTTCACGCCAGTCTGTAAAATTGACGCAAAAATTGTTAGTAAAATTTGTTGTGAAGATCGTTACCCGTTCGACCAGAGAAGATCCGAGGGAATAAATAAACTTCTGTTTGTGAATTTGTCGATGGCGCCAGGCATAGCTCCGCTGTCAAGGAGAAATTCAGACGAGACAAGGTGATACTTCGGACGGATTCAGAATTGTTCGGACGGGTATTTATGCAAAATACGCAACGACACGAGGAATAATAATGATAACAAGGCAATTACATTACGACTCGTAACTGTTAATTTATAAGCTAACTGTGAAATGCATGTTTGTGTGTTTATCCGTTTGTCTTACCGTGTGTCTGAGTCTATGTCTCATCGCATTTAAGACGACTTTAAACGTTCTTAAATAAGCTAACGACGAGGAAACACGCGAACTTCAGCCGTTCCGTATTTAGAATGGACCAGGGATCACATGAAATTGTTTATATGTTAACGTGGCATAAAAATATACCTTTACAACAACGTGAAGGATATCGGTTATGACACAGCAACGACAAACGTTTACGTCTATATATATAAATGCATGTGTGTGCACGTAGAGTCTTTTTATTTTTACATCTATATATATATAAACGTGTCGCTAATGTCTCCACAGTTTTTCCATACATACATATATATATATATATATATATGGTATTTTGCCGCACGAGCCAAGTGAGGAGGAAAGTTATGCTTATTTTTCAACATCTAGAAGTAAAAGTGAGACAAAAATAAAGGACGCATAGTATCAGAGCTAGACCCTCCCGACAATCCTCCACAAACAGCCCAATTAGTTAACGAGCACAGTTGTATCATGCCGACGCAGCCTTTTTATTGATCTGATCGAGCGTGTCATCTCTTTTCGACACTGCTTTAATTTTATCCAGGGCCAGCTAGATCACGCATTAGGACACGTACGAGATCGAGTGTAGCAAAATGAATGATCATAATAACAATGACAACGACACGTTTGGTGCAGCAAATCTTACAGATACT